CACCCTCACCGTGACTGCCCAGCACCCCGCTGCAGGCCTGCTGGTAGCTGTACTGGATAGCCCCTGCCTGCTGCCTGTGAGGACCTGGTGTTTACATTTTTAGGGGAGAAACATGAGCGTGACTCAGCAGCAGGACAGGGACGGGAAGAGGCAGCCCAGTTGACTGTGGGGTGAGCCAGGCCAGGAGAAGGGGGTGGTGGTTGGAGCCTGTCCCAAGAAGAGCTTGTGGCCCTAGGTACAGGCCGCTCTCTGGTTGGGGGAATAGATGGATCGTCTCTGCTTGGTTTTCCCATCTGAGAAATGGGTGCAGTTAGCTCCTAGGAAGGCTCAGGAAGTGATCGGTATAGAGTCATGGTAAGGGTTCAATAAATGTTAGTTTTCAGGAGCTGGGGGACACTGAGGACAACTAGACCTTGGGATGGTTGCTGCCCTTGATTGCAAACACGGGTTCTGCATCAGCTGGCAGGACCCAGAGTAGTGGCGGGATGAACTCACCTGCACTCAGCCTCCGGCTCAGCTTTTCCATTGGCTGCAGGGGGTGCAGGCTCTGTGAGCCGGCTGCCTCCCCACATCAGGCTCTACAGAGAGCACCCCCTAATTCATCCCCTTTCATCCTAGTGAAACCCAGAAGGCCAGGCCATGACTGTCAGTCACCCAGGCCAAACACAGCAGCTGTGGCTCCAGCCATCGCATCTTCACAGGCAAACACCATAGTGAGAGAACCAGAGATGGTGTGACCACCCTTTCCACGTGGGCAGGTCAAGGCAGGCAATCTTTGTGCCTGAGGGAGCTCTCTGTGCTCAGGAACTGGGGACTGAGCCCTGGACAAGTTGTCCAGCGCAAGCTCCTGGAGGCCACAGAGCCAGAAAGCACCAAGTTGGGCTTCAGAGGAGCCAGCCCAAAGCCCAGGCCGGCTGCCCCTTACCATGCACTGCACCGTCTCACCCATGAGCCATGTGCCCTCTGTGAGGCTTCTCTGCGCCTGAGGGAGGGTCTGGGGAGGAAACTGAGTCAGCACTCAGGAGAGGACCACAGGGCATCTCCCTGACCCGGCACCCACCCAGGGACCACAAGTGGCCAAGTGACCAAGAGGCAAGAGGCGTTGTGACCTCCGCCAAGGTAGTGAGCGCAGCTGCCTGGACTATGCCAGGTGGCAGGAGGCAGAAGGCGCAGCTGACCTTGCAGGCTGAGGCAGAGAGCATGCGCCGGGTCAGCACCCACCTCCAAAGAGCCCCAGGCAATGGGGCATCAAGGTTCTGAAAGTCCAGAAGGAGAAACGTATCCTATCAGCATGACACGCATTTTCTGTCCCCCAGGTAGTGGTGTGCCCTGCTAGACACCTGCAGGCCCAGCTCACCTTGCAGCTAGGGATGGCTACGTGACAACATGCTGGCCCATCAGGTGAAAGAGGGATTTTGCAATCAGCTTCGGTACTCTAGGCTTCCTCTTTCTTTCTATTGCCTGGAACTTGGACACGATGTCTGGGGCTCCAGCAGCCACTGGGCTCCAGGAAGTCATTATGAGGGAAGAAGCGATGCATTAAAAGGATGCAAGGGAGGACAGAGCCTGAGTCATTTTACTGAGTTCTGGTCTGCATGCTTCACAGTTCTTGTACATAAGAAAAAATTGTGCTGGGCATGGTGGCGCACGCCTGTAATCCCAGCACTCGGGAGGCTGAGGCAGGAGGATCACTGCGAGTTTGAGAGCAGCCTGGGCTAAAAAGTGAGCTCAAGGCTTGAATGGCATAGCAAGACCCTGTCTCAAACAGACAGAAAAAGGAGAAGGAGGAGAAGTTGCTAAGAGCCACTGTTGCTCTGAATTTTCTGCCTGGCATGGAACCCAATTTTAAGGACTGCAGATCTCTGACACTATGTCCAGAGCCATAGTTGCAAATGGCAGAAAACCCTAATACCATAGGGTGAGGCAAGCAGAGGGATGCATTAGGGTCTAGCTTCAGGCAGAGATGGATCAAGGGGCCCCAGAAACATCACCAGCACCCCAGGCTGCTCTCTTCCACTCAGCTCCACTTCCCACCTCGGCTTCCTCCAGGCAGCCTCTTCCCAAGCACACCCACCCGCAGGCTTCAGGCCTCTAGGTTAGGCCCCTCCCAGGCCCCCAGCAAAGCAGCTTCCTGCCCAAGCCTTTGTGTAGGAGTCCCAGCATGGCTCTGTGCCCCTCACCCACCACCCGTGCTATGGCTGAGCTGGAGGGTCCCCAGTCTTCAGATCCCCTGCTGGCCTGGGCAGGGGTGGACACAGCTGGCATGAACTCTCAGTACTCACCCAGGGCTCAGCCTAGGGAACTGTGTGGGGAAGAAGCCCAGGCCTGGTCAGGGGGAACGAACCCCCCACAGCCAGGGCACAGGAGCAGAGCAGATGGGGGATAGTGGCGTGGAGGGGACTTCAGAGTATCTGGCTCCCTTTCAGGAGCTGGTTGGCCATGATTGTGCCCTAAATGGGGAGCAGTGGCCAGCAGATTTGGAGAAGCCTTTTCTCCTTTTTGGGCTTCAGTTTGCCCATCTGGAAAGTGGGAAGAGAGTGTGACACCAGTCAGTAAGGAGAGCTCAGTGCAGCTGCTCAGATGGCAGTTGGGTGGCCAGGCCTTCTGACAGAGTGGCCGTGTGGTGACCCTGGGCATCCTCCAACTGGCTGAGGGGGGCAGCTGGGGTGGTCCTGCCATACCCCTCCCTCCAGGCCCTCTCAGCCTCTCGGCCTCCTTGAGGAATGCACTGCATGTGGTTCACAGGCTCCACAGGAGGCCATGGTCCTCCCAGCCATCTCTATCCCAGGAACCACTGCAGGACGCAGAGCCTGGAGGGACAGGTATGCAGGGCCAGGGCAGCCTGCTGCTTGCCCTAAGTGTTGCTGGGGACCCTGGGGCAGGTGCCTCCATGAGCCTCCAGCCTCGCGCGGGCCTGGGCTAGGGCCTGAGCCCCTAACCCCATGGGGGCCTGGTGGGGCTGCTTGCCCCTGTGGCCAGCAGGACTCTCCTCCCCCAGTCACTGCAGCCTCAGCACGGCTGCTCCGCGATCCCACCCGGCCCAGGTGGCTTGGACGGCAGCTCTGCTCGGGTCATGCAGCGTGCACCTGTGTGCCGGTGTCGGTGTGTTTGTGCACATCTGTGTGCACACACAGCTGGGGGCTCCTGCGCGCCTGTGTCTGTGTCCACGTGTGCGCATGTGTCTGTGCCTCACAAGTGCAAGCGTGCCTGTAGATGCATGTGTGTCCACGTGTCAAATCAGGGTGCAGACGTAACAGACACCCCTGTGTCGTGGATGTCTGTGTCAGTGGGTATCTGGGTACACGGGCATGGCCTGTGTCGAGTGTGTCCCCATGTCCATGTCTGCCCCCACAGCGAGCACATGTGTGTGTGAGTGTGCACATGAGTGCACAGAGGAGCCTGGGGTGTCTCCATCCATCCCCAAGCGTGTCTGTGTGTGTGCGGCTGTGGAGAGGGCAAAGAGGATGTGCCGAGGCAAGTGTGTATGCACACACATGTGTGGTGTGTGCACACGCACCCCAGCCCTCCACCGGGTGGCACTGGGCCAGGGACAACAGGACACACAGGAGGAAGGACAGACTGGGTGGCAGTCCAGCCTGGCACATGGCCCCTTGCCGTGCTCACCCCCAATGTGCCCTGCCAGGTGCCAGGCACAGCTGGCTGAGTGATAGGGACACAGCAGAGGTCATAGGTCCCTGCTCTTGGGAGGACAACACAGAGGCTCAGGGAAGCCACACTTAGCTGGGGGCTCCCTCCTTCGTCACCTCAGGTGCTGCCTCCTGGGGTCTGTTTCCCTAACTGTCCCCTGAGGTGCTCCCTAGGTAACTCAGCCCCCAGGGGAGGATTTGTACTGAGTGGACCTGCACTCTGCCACAGCCCAGAGCAGCACTTGGCCTTTTTCCTAACAACAATCAATAGTCCCCCAGCTCCACCTGGGCGACTCCAGGGGTCCCCTGGCTCACCCTCACAGGCCCCTCCAACCTGGGCCCAGTGGGGGGGCTGCTCTCCAGGCCTTCAGGAAGGCCTGTCCCAGAGCCTGTCACTGGCTGATAGGGACAGGAAATGTGCTGGCTGCTAGTGGCATTGCTGATAACCCTGGCAGTGCCCACACCCCCTCCCCGGCCCAGGGCTATCAGCAGAGCACTGTCTGCGGGAGCCCCAGAGCCCCGTGACCTCCTGACCTCACCCCAGTGTTTGCAAACTAGGGTGCTTGGGGCGAGGGAAAGGGGAGGGTAGAAGGGGAGGAGCCAGTCTGGGCAGGACTCCCCGCAGGCAGCAGTGGTATCTTCAAGAAAATAGAGGGACCTGAAAAAGCCAGACCAGACAGGGTTCCAGGACACAATGCAGGCAGGTCACCCCAGGTCCCTGGCAGGACTGACCACCTGGAGCCCACAGTGGCCAGAGCATTAGTGCCCCACATTTTGTGGCTGCGGCCAGGGGTTTCTCTGTGGAAGGGAGCAGCAGTGTTGGGCTTCCGGAGGAGCTGGCACTCCTTCCGATGCGGGCCCTTCCTGCGCCTGTCCCCAGTCCACCCCCTGGGCTGCTGCCGCAGGGACTCTGATCTCTAGTGTCCTCCATCCGCCCTGTCTGACTTCTGGCTCAGCGAGCTCTAGGGGAAGTGATGGGCCTAAAGCCCCGACAGCCTGCTGGGTCCTGCCCAGCACCCCTCAGAGCCAGCTCAGGCTGCCTAAGGACCTCAGTTTCCCACTGTGCCTCACCTGCACAAGCTGAGAAAGTACAGCAGGACACCGGAGAGCCCCTGTACATGCACATGGGACAAGGCTGGAGGAGCACAAAGGGAAGGCAACGTGCAGTGAGCCCCAGGGACAGAGGGACCCACAAGTGCCAAGGCCCCGGGGTGGCCGGCCGCTGTAACTGAGGGACAGCTAGGGTGTGGCTGCGGACACCGCTGTCTATGCGGATCCCGGCAGCCAGCAAGGACAGCTGTTGGAACCACTGGACCCCAGGCTCAAGAGTAAAACAGAAACTGAAGACTGATGTTCTCTTCAAAGAAAACAAGTTTTATTTTTATAATCAGAATATTCTAATAAAAATATTATTATAATATTAGCTACCTTTGTTTTCTGGGCCTTGACTTATACCAGGCGTGCCACAGAGCGCCTGCAAGCTCAGCTCCCTGAGGTAGGTCTGGGGACACCCGGGCCCAGCCCGCCCGCTGCCACACGTGACCCCTCCCCTCAGCTGAGGGTCTGCCGGAGCTTCCCAGCCCCTCCATCAGAGCAGCTCCCACCTCAACCCCGAGGCAGGCAGGCCTTTTTCCTTCCCAAGGGCCCCACGGCTGGGAGCTGCCAGCACCAGGTGGACTGAAGGCGCTGGCCAGGGCAGGCACTCTCGCAGTTGCCCAGGAGCCCACGTGGGGCAGCCAGGGACACCCACCCGCCGAGGGGTGGCCAGCACAGTAGGACATGGAAACACTGTCGTCTCCACGGTCAAACCATCAGCAAAAACAAGTCTGTCAAGAGTCTAAAATAGGTTAGGGTTCTGGGTGGCAACAGTCTCTGCTGAAAACTAGGCTCGAATTCTGAATACTTAGTAGCAAAACAATTACAACAGGAAGAGAGTCGCAGTGTTTCGACGGAAGGGGACAGCTGCCTGCAGCGGGACACCTCATGGAGCAGGGGCTCCGGCAGCCATGCAGGGTCCTGAGAAGAGGCGGCGGCACCTGCGACGGGGTCACTGTGCTCTCTCTTCCAGGACTCCCCTGAGAAGGCACCTGGCGGCACGTGTGTCACACAGCCCAGCAAGATGCCCTGGTGGGGACAGGCCTGTGGGCACCTGGGGCATGGACGGGACAGGGGAGTGGGAGGAATCAGTAGGTGTGCAGAATCGGGGGCTGCCTCACACGTGGCCGCTCGGTCACCCTCTCTTCTCCAAGTCCTCCTCAAGGCACGAAGAGAATGGACAGGAAGAGAAGCCACCTCTCAGCCATCGTGGGGCTCAGGTGACACCACAGTCCCTGGCGCACCAGCCTCACTGCATCCGGTCCGGCTGCAGCTGTGGAGCCTGGTACTGCACAAAGGTGGTGCCTGCAGGGGCAGCGGCGGAGAGGGCCTGTGGCAGGGCGGCCGGGTAGCTGTAGCCCACAAAGCTGGTGGCCGTGGCGGGCGAGGCAGCATACGGGTACTGGTCATACGTGGCTGGCGGGTACTGGGCATAGGCGGGACTGGCAGGCGTGTACTCGATGTAGGGCGAGGTCAGCGACGGGACAGGGGCGGCCGGGATCACCACACTGGGCTGGACGATGGCTTGCGGGTAGACATAGTGGGGCGTCAGCCTGCGGGCCAAGCAGAGAGGCAGTCAGGGTGCGCAGCGCTCAGCTCCCGGCCCGCCTAGTGTGGCTGCACGTGGACTCGGGCCCTCCGTCCACCCCAGTGCCCACTGAGAAGCGCTGCTGCTCGAGGTCCAGAAGCAGGGCTCAGCCTCAGCACTGCTACGGTGCACAAGCGCTCCAGCACGTTGCTGCCGGCACCAGCCAGGGGCGCGCCGTGGCACACCGGCACCCCCAGCTCTCCACAGGAGGAAAGGAGGAGAAGCGGGCAGCTGCTGGCCATTCTGGATGAGGGGCTCACAGCCCTCTGCAGGAGCAGCATCCTCTGCACCCCTGGGGTTCAATGCACTGCTAAGATGGGCCAAGGAGCCCTGCCCAGCACAGAGCCCAGGACGGCCCTCTGCACAGCGTTCTGGCACCACAGGGTTCCCCTCCCCCGGGCCGGGCCCCTTCTGGGTCTAAGAGGAACCCACAGTCCTAGGTGGGAGCACCCAGAGGCACCCACCCTCGGGGACAGAGCCAACATCCCTCGGGAGCAGCCTGCAGGGTGCCTCCTGGAGGTCCGTGCCCACAGCACTGAAAGAACCATCAGCACTGAGGCGTGGATGATGCACACAGAGCTGCTCAAAGGACGTAGCTCCGAGTGTGCGAGGCTGACTGCCACAGCGAGGCCCCTTCCACCAGTCCCCAGGTCCCCAGTGACACAAAAAGGAGACCAAGCCAGCATGGGGGCCAATTCCATGTGGGTCTGAACATCTTCATGTGGACAAGAGATCCACGTGCGTGACGGCTGTGTCTGGCTGTCCCCCAGAGCCGCATGTGGCTGTACATGGGGCTTTGTCAGAGGCGGCTGCACCTAGAGGATGGCTGATGTGCGGCGCAGCGCTAGGCTCAAGGGCGCGAGGGTTAGGGTGTGAGTGCTGCCCGCTCTGAGTAGCCTGCATAAGGTAGACAGGTAGAAGGAAGGGTGGTCGCCCCTTGCTGCTTCGCTGCCTTCTGCTACCATGAGCTGTTTCTCCTGTGAAGCCCCCTACTGCGCCGCCCTGCCTTGGACTCTGTCAGTGGTGGGCCGAAACCTGGACAGACTGTAAGCGAAATAAACCCTCCCAGTGCAAGTAAGGACCAAAATACTTTGAAATACAAGGAAAATGTTCAAATAGAGAGTGGAACAAGTGAGAGGAGGGAGAAAGAAAAGAAAGGGAAAGAAGAAGAGAAGGAAAACAAGGAAACAAAGATTTGAAAATGGAGGGAGAAAAGGGCCGGCTGAACAGCTCAGTGGATTAAAGCGCCTGCAAGCAGGCACAGGGGCTGGAGGTTCAATCCCTGGGTCTGCTGTGCCAGCTCCACCCCCAGGGCACACTGAGACAGCAATGGAGACTGGGCGTGGTGGCACGCCTATAATCCCAGCTCCTGGGAGGAGCTGTAAACATGCGGATCACTGCAGTCTGATCTAGTAGTGAGACTCTGAGCAGAAAGTACAGGGACTGGCGTTCAATCTCTGGCACCACAGGCCACGCTGGCCCAGCCCTTGGGCACGCTGAGCCAGCCAGAGTGGTGCATACCTGTAATGCCAGCAGGAGGCCACTTGGCCCCGTGTCTGAGGGCGTCATCCTTACTGCTGCCATGCCGACACAGTTTAAGCAGCACCCCTGCACCCCACCAGGAACCTCTGTGGCAGCTGCTGAGGCCAGGAGGCCTCTGCAGAGAACCTGCAGGCTGCCCTTGCTCCGCCCAAACTCCTCTCCTCCAAGGAAGTACAGGGCTTGAGCAGCACCAGGGCTGAGTTCAGATCCTACACTTGGACACCTCACACACCAGTCCCGGGCGCCTGGAGCACAGAACCTGGCTTTGCACTTGAGGCCTTTGTTTTCTGCATGAGAAGCAGAGGAACACAAAAACCCACGGCATATCAGAAGCCCCACGGCACGGGCAGGAGATCCACAGGGAGGGGGGGACAGGAAGAGACTGCACAGGGCTGCCAAGAGACCTTGGGCTGAAATGGTCCAAGGGGTCCACAGAGCGGACAGCAGAGAGGGGCCAAAGAGGAGCAGAGAGCCAGGAGAGGCACTCCTGGTGGCAGCAGCCTCCCCAGCCCTACGTACCATGTCCTGAAAGTTAGTGCCACAGCGGACCCTGCCCAAGGAAGCCTGCACCCCACACTGTCAAGGGACCCCGACTCTGTAGGCCTTTCCCACTCCCGGTCTCCGCGTACATCCCTGGCCCTCTCCACACCTCCCTCAGAAGCTCAGGCTCTGCTGCCCACCGGGCGAGCCTGTGGGAGGCCAGCACACCCACTGGTCTCTGCCTCAGGGAAGCTGTCAGTGCTGTGCCTGCCATGCTGTCCTGGTGCCCGAACCACCTCCGCGTCAGTGGGGACCCCCACTCAGAACCTCAGCAACATGCCTTAAGAGTTAGAAGCTCTGAAAGGGCTGAGCTCAAAACTTCTCCAAATGCAGGAGGGCAGGCACCGCTGCAGCAGAACCCAGCCCTCAGAATGTGGGCCCACACCAGGCACCGGGCTCTGCCCAGGTGCAGCAAGACCGCTGGAGGCCCCAGCTCATGGGTAGAGGCCCTTGTCCTCCCATGACGCACACTCAGTGTCAGCCCTGGTCCCGACTGCTGCCACCCCACCAGCTCCCCACTGCCCGCTGCTGCCGGGAAGGAGTGCAGCGCCTCTGCCATCGCCCAGCTACTACGCCTCGCCTCCACGACCCCAACCTGGCCACGTCTGTCCACCAGTGCTGCCCAGGTTCTGTGTAGCTGCCCCTTGTGGGAGACCCCCGACACCTTCCAAAGCATTCTCAGAGCCCAGATGAGGAGCTGCGCCTGCTTCACTTCCAGGATAGCCAAAGGCCCTGCCCAGTCCCAGAGGGAGTCAAGTGCTGGGGGTGGGGGGGGTAGGGAGTGGGCCCAGTCTTGGGGCACAACGAAAGGATTGGAGTGGCTCTCCTTCCGCTGCCTAGTGAGGCCCAGGAGGGACAAGAACTCTACCCATAGCTGAGGAGGGAGGAGCTGTGACACATGCCACTGGGGCACGGTCCTAGCATCTCTCGTGTGAGTGGCTGAGACCAGGCCTCCACACACATGGCCACTGTCACCAGCTTGCTACCATGGCACTGTATCTCCAGGGACACTGGGCACAGCTGGGGGCTAGCGGGATGCAGGAAGCTCCCGGCAGCTCGTGGGGAGAAGCCAGGTCACTGCCACCGTCCACCCTTACTGGCCAGGTCAGCCCCACAGAGGAACTGCCCAGCTGGGAGGCCAGGAGGGCCCCGACTGAGATTCCTCTGCATAGTACCACTGAGCAACCCGAGAAGGGCCCAGGAGGAGTTCCCACTGGTGCGACAGCCACAAGCGGGGGACGTGGGGGGAGGGCAGACCTGGAGTCCATGGTGTGTGCACAGACCCGTGCGTGCACACAGAAACTCGCCCAGTGCTTCAGGGAGAAAGAAACGCCCAACGTGTGCCCTGCCTGACGCCAGGGCCAGACCCCAAGTGCCTGACACTAGGGAAGGGTGTGTGTGTGCCCCTCGCCCCTGGCCAGGAATCATGGCCTCTGGCATTGTTTGGAAAGGGCGTGGATCAGGACATGAGCTGCCCACCATGCCTCAGTTGACAGCAGACCCTGCATGAGCTTCCCTGCAGGCCACCGCAGAACTCGCCGCCCTCTCTGCCTCAATGAAGAGGCCGTGGGGTTCCACAACCCGCCCATAGCCCATCCCCTCCACAGCTTCCCTCCGACCCTGCCAGCACTCCAGCCCTCAGATTCTTCGCATGGCCCCATGCTCACCTCCCCAGAGAACTTCCTGTCATCCTGCAAGCCAAAGTCACCTGTCATTTACTCATGTCCCACTGCTTCCCCATGAACCAGAGCTCCACCTCAACTGCTAGGTCCCAGGTCCCACTTCGGCACTATGGCACTAAACACCTGAGCAGGTGCCACTGCCCAAGACACAGGGAAGGACAGAGCCCCAAGACCACATGGCTGGGTGCACAGAGGACAGCAGACACTGGGGAGGGGCCGCCAGCCTCAGTCCACTGGCAAGGGGCCTGGGAGCCCCAGGGCATCCTCCCACAGCCTCTGCAGGAGGGGACACCCAGCGCTGCCGGTGGGACTGGCCATTCGGCAGCTCAGGCCCTCACACAGCACCCAGGAGCCCTCCTTGGCCTGAGGGGGGCTGGAAAGTCGGGCCCTGCCCCTCCCTAGATGGCCAGCAACAAGTCTGGTAGTTGGGACAGTCAGACCAGGAATTAGATCCCACAGGAACCCCACAGGCAGTCTTGTTGCCCCAGAACAACGGGCAGAGGGCAGCTGAATCTGGTTCCTCCTTCCTTCCCACTCCAGAGAGGCTCTGGGCCAGAACCCCAGGCTCCATTCCAAATTGCCCTCCACCAAGCCCTGGGAGGCACACGCAGCACACCACCCTGTGTCCCAGAATCCTAGGCAGGTGCAGAAGAAAGCCTGAGGTCAAATGGGCCCCTCTTCCACAGGTACTGTCCAGAGCTCCCCAGTGAGGATGATGGGGCCATGGGGCTGGCTCATGCTGGAACCGGACTGGTGTCACCTCCCTCCCACACCTGTGTCCTTCCTTGCCTCCCACTGTCACCTCTGCTCAGAGCCCACATGCTCAGCATAAGTAGCACCCAGTTACCTCAGCCCTGGAGGCCCAGGGGTCCAGGACTAAGAACCCCAGCCCAGATCCCAGTGGAGCCAGTCTCGGATGCTGGCTGGCCCCAGGAGAGGGCCCAGGATTCTGAGAACCCCAAGGGGAGGGGCAAGGGCAACTCCTAATAAAGGCCAAGTGAGGTGGGCAGCATCAAAGGGACAGACACAGGCCCTACCCCACACTCAAAGCAAAACCCTCAGTGAGAAGTACCTGGCCACAGCCCAGGCGGGCTCACTTCCGGAGCGGAGGTTACCACTGAAAGAAGAATGAAAATGGCAAATGAGCCATTTCACTTTCTCTGCTCTCCAGGGACCTTGTCCCACCACGCTGGAGACCACGTGGCAGCGCAGGGAGGTGCAAGGGTGACAGAGGGGCCCTGTGCGCAGGCGCCAGGAAGGCAGGAAACCAGGCCGGGCCAGCAGGGAATCCCCTGTGGCAAGGAGCGGGGGGTGTTCAGGCTCTTCAGGACCCAGGAAACAGGCCCGGCAGGTGTCCGGGCACAAGTGACACATCCTTCGCATGATGGCGCCAGGTCCCAGCAGCAGCGCTGCCCCAGAGCACGCCCAAATCCCAGCTGATCATCACTGCGGCTGTGCCTGCCTCAGCCTCCTCCTGGGTCAAGGCCCACCCCCGTCCTGTGTGCTCTAGAATGTTCCCACACTCCTCTTTCAAACACTCTAAAGCGTGCACTCGGATGCCCTACTTATGCCATAGGCTGGGTTATGCAGCGCCCTGGACTCCTAGGGACAGAGTGTCCCCGGGCTTCCCCCGTGCTCCCAGCAGCCCCAGCTCTCCCACCTGCTAGAGGGATGCTTAGAGCTCAGCCTGCCCTCGCCTCAGCACCAGCCACTGCCTAGGTCCCTGGGGAAGCGCGCGGGGCATCGTCACAGCCACTACCGCGTGTCACAGCCCCTCCCCCATGCCTGCTTGCCTGTAGGCAGGGGCCTAGGTCTGGCTGCTCCTCCCCGTCCACAGCTCTGGGCCTGGCCCACTTGTCGTTCCTGCCACAGCACGGCCTAGTACAAGGGTGCTGGGTCAGCCAGCCCGACACCAAGGAAGCAGTCAATGGACCTGGAGCAAGCTGGGTGGCTGCTCCCCGAGAGCGGCAGCCAGGTCCCCCTGCAGCACACTCTGTCAGCTGGCCCCCGGCCTCTCCCTGTCTAGAAGCAACAAGTCTCAGCCTGAGGCCTAGGGCCAGCTTCATGAGACCGAGTCCCTGGTCCCTCAGCCCAAGGCTTCGAGATGGATCTCTTCACCTCCTCCAAGCTGGGCAGAGGCCCCCCACCCACCAGGGCCACAGAAGCCAGAACTGGGCCCTGAGAGGAAGCAACAGCACCCTAAGGCTGCCTCCTGTCACGGCAGATGGAGACAAACAACAGGTGCAGCACGGCTGCCAGTGGGGAGAAGGGGAGGCCAGGCACAGCCCACGCTCCCGATGAGCTGTCAAACAGGAAGTCAAGGTGGGGGAGCAAAAGGCTACCCGAGACACCCTGAAGGAAAAACGTGATGCTGCGGTCAGCCATGGGGGCCTCCAGGGGGACCTGTCCTCACACTGGCTGCTCCTGGCCTCCACCCACCCTCACCTGACTCGCCCTCTTGTGAAATTAAGACACTCCTCAGAAGTCCCAAAAATACCCCAGGGCTCCCTGTGCTTGAAATCTCACACAACCACGTGCATCATGAAGAACCGAAAGGGCCAGGCACAGGGGTGAGTCGGGCAGCAGGCCTGGGTCAGGTTTCACCGCGCGCACTTGCGCCACTATCTTTATGGGTCACAGAACTCCTCGGCCCAGTTACACTCCACACACAGGCCGACCCGGCCCTCCAGGGGGACCCTCAGGGTTTCCTGTTTACTGCACTTGTCCCCTAGCCTCCAGAACACATCTCAAAGGACCCCAGGCCCAGGACCTAGGTGCAGCAGGTACACAATTAATGCCCAGGAGTGGATCTGGGAGCAGCTCTTCCCTTCATCGCTGCCCATGGGTTCCATGCTGCGCCTCTGCCAGACACCAGAGGCCTTCACAGGGACAGGTCCCGGAAACCATGGCCACAGGCCTGGGAGAGAGTCACCCGGCTATCAGTGGTCTCAGAGGTCTGTGTTCACTCATCCAAGAGCTGATCCGGGGCTGCTGGGGCCAAGGGCCTCGCCAGTCTGTATGTCCCAGTCTCAGCTTCACAAAGGCAGACAGGTCAGCAGACCTTGCCACTCAGGAAAACTCTCGAGGCTTCCCAAAGCCAGGCCCTGACCTGCAGCTTGTGTCCATGGGTGCTCAAATCTCAGCGCAGCCCTGTTGCCCTCCCCAGCACACACAGGGTCCTGCGAGCGGAGGGCAGGGACTGGGAGCAGACTCCAGGCAATGCTCCTGACCACCCATGGCCTGAGAACACTGTCCTGTCATCTCCAACCCCTGGGCCTGACCCCTCCCGACACAAGGCTGGCACTCAGGAATAGGCAGCAAGCACAGAGCATGATCCCCACAAGAACAGGGAGGGTGACCCGCAGTGAAGCAGCTGACCCTTCAAAAATAGCCCCTGAGAGACTCCAAGTGAAGCAAGGCCAGGACAAACTGTGGATCCCAGGGGGCCACAGGCCTGAGCTGAGGGACGCCCCTTGCCAGGAGCCACCTCTAAATTTCTCCTGCCTCTTCTCCTCCCACCAAGGTGGCAAAGAGACCTTCTGCCAAGCAGTCTACCGCAGCTATGTCACTCCCAGGACTACCACGCAGGCCTGTGTGGCCAGCACAAACCACCTGCCACCCACCAACTCCGAATGCTGGCTCAGGCCCACAGGGATATGGGGCAGCACCAGCACAATTAGGTCCTGAATGGGCCCCTTCAACGTTAAAAAAAAAAAGAAAAGAAAAGCAGGGGGCAGGCAGATAACAAAGCATCAGAACCCTCAGGGGACACTCTCCTTACTGACTGAGGGTTCTGACCAACACAGCAGAGGTCCCGCAACGACTGGGCCTAGAAGTGGGCCCAGAGCTGTCAAAGGCCCAGGAGCATGGCCCCAAGCGGGGACTGCGCTGCTCCGGCTGCAGCTCCCACCATGCCCTCGGTCACGGAAGGCCGGGCCTCACTGCCAGCCCCAGCGGACAAAACTGACCGCTGAGTCAGGCGCAGCTGCGCCTGAGCCTGATTGTTCGAGAAGACAAAGGGGACGCTGACAGCCCAACTCTCTAGCCCGGCCAGAGGGCGGATGCTGGAAGCCTGCAGCTGACCCAGGCAGCCAGGCCTGGCTGGAGCTCTGTGGCCACACAGCCAGGGCTGCTCTGGGTCTTGTCAGGGCCTGGGCAGGGGCAGGGGCAGGGAGGGACCCTGAAATTAGGGACACTGCTCTCCTCAAGTTCAGTTCAACAAAATTCACTGGAGATGAAAGTGGCCAGTCCCTGGCTCCTTATCCTTGTTTGGGTCTCCACCCCTTGGCAACCAACAGTCTGGAGCCTCTTCGTGGTCACAGGATTAAGTGGCCAGCCCACTGATCTGGTTACGAACACTGCTGCCTGAAGTCAGGTGCAGAGGCCCACACAATCTGTGACCAACCCAAGTGCCCTCAGACAAATGGCACAGGACTCCAGCTGGGTCCAGGGGAGAGTTGGGGCGCCCTGCCCACCTACCTCACCACGACAGCGCCCGTCCCAGAGCCAGCACCTGGGCTCAGACCTCACCCCTGACCTTACCCTCCCACTTGTTACAAACCTTTTCTTGCCTCCGTTTCTAGTCTATAATTGAAATCATCATCAGTCCCCATTTCAAAGGCTCGCAGGGAGGACCGGAAGATGTTATTTGGGAGTGGAGGAGCACGGCACAGCTACGTTCCAGGCAGTTTTAAGGACAGTTCCTAGTTTCCAGATGTTCCTAGTTTCCAGATGAGGCAACTACAGAGGATGTCACTTGCTGAGATGGACCCAGCTAATAGGCAGCAAAGGCAAGCTCTGAACCCAGGCTGGTGCGCTCACAGGCCACCAATGGCAGCTCCTACAGTCCCAGAGGCAGCTGGGCCAGAGCAGGGCCAAACGGGGATGTGGGCGGGAAGCAGCACAGGCGTGGGGCTCAAGCCCTGGTCTCCCAGCAGTGCCAGTTCCAGCCCTGGCACTCAGAACAGAGCAGGCCACTGTAAAGCAAGGAACATTCTCCTCGTATGGCTGAACTCCAGAGGAAAAACTAGGGAGGCATGATGGCCGGGGTACCCAATATCTACCAGGGCGATGCTGGACATCCACAAAACCAATCTAAGGGTGACCCCACAAGCATCTATCCCTGTAGCCCTCCAAGCACCCTCCAAGGAGGACGGGACACTGGAGGGCACAGGTGGGCCAGGCTGGGCCAGCCCCAGGCATCCCCAGCTCAGTCCACTGTTGGGCTCCCCCACATCCATCAACTCTAAGGAGACCTTGGGGCCAGCGCACCCCTCACAAACCCGAGCATCCGGAGCGCACACAGCACCTTCCCAGGACTGTGAGCCCCTCCAGTGTGTGCAGACACACTCAACTCGAGGCACCAGACCCGCAGGCTGGGACCAAACGCTTTTAAGCTGTAAACGCAGCAACTATCCACCCACTCCCCAGCCCCGAAGCAGGTCCCACACTGCACTGGGCAGCAGAGTTCCCAAGCCCGGGAAATCTCACTGAGCAGGCAGGAGACCCCCAGGCCTTGAGCCCTTCCCTAGACAGCTGCCAGGCCTCATTAGAATAAAAAAAAATGTGGGAGGGGAGTCCTCTTAGATGGAAGGTGTGATGTGTAGCTCTGAAGCAAATCACTCAAGAGCCCACAGGCCAGTCTCAACCTAACCAGGGACAGCTGCAGCTGGTCACAGCTCATCTGCTGCTGTACTCAGACCTGCCACCTGTGCAGCCCTGAAGCTAGGCAGCAGGCACCAGGCAGAGCCCAACCCATACCTCCCTGGAGCCTGTCCGCACACAGCCAACCCAGTCCACCACCACAGAGTCCAGGGCGCGGCTCCTGCCCATTTTTCAGGCAAGGTCACAGAGGTACAGAAGCCATCTGCTGCCTGAGATCACCCCTGGGAAGGGGGCAGGGTTAGGACTGGCCTCCCTCCCCACCCCCAAAACACAAGCACATGTCTGCAAACCATCACTTGCCCAGCTTTTCAACACTCAGGAAGGCCCACCCACGGCCCCTCACCTCATCTCCAGAGACCACCCCCCACTCAGAAGCAGCCACCCGCACTCACCCATAAGTCCGCTGGATCAAGGTGGGGTGTAGTTGCTGCACACCGACAGCGAAGCCTGCAATGGGAGGACAGTTAGGGACACTGCCTTGGGGGTTGCGCACAGCGAAGCCGAGCCACGCCAGCCACGCTACCCTAGTTCCACGAATAACCCGCTTGCCCTCCTCTTTTCAGGCTACCACCACTTCGAACCCCCAAACGCCCAGCCAAAACAGGCCGGGGGCCTCTGTCTGACTCCCAACCTCCAGCCACAGGGCCAACTTCCTCCTTCCCAAGAGGAGAGCTGACCAGGGGATGATGCACCCTCCTCACCCTATCCCGCAGGCTCTAGTGGTGAGCTGGGGGTGCCTGCCCTGTGCCAGCTCTGCAGGCACATGATAGCTGACTGCCACTCCCGGGCCAGGGGGGCCTTTTCCACTCCACAGATACCAACGTTGAATATAGAAACCGAGAAGAGCTGGGAGGAAGACAAAAGCTCTTACCCGTCTGCAGGCTCCGCGGCTTGGCGCCCAGATACGCTAGGTTCACGTTGGCCTTTCGACCATCGATGATAGGGTTGGGATCTTTGCAGGCCCGCTCTGCCGCTGCCCGGTCAGCCATGGTCACCTGGAGAGGCACAGCGGGTCAGGAGTTTCCCTTGCTGGGGTGGGGAAGCCAGAAAGTGGGGGCAGAGGGTTCTGCCCGGGCACTATGCCACCCGGGCTCTAGCCACCCAAAGCACCTGGTGCTCAGGATCTTCGAGACCCTTTCCTCTGAACCGAGCCCAAAGCTCCCCCCGCCCCAAAATTCAGGCGCCTTCCTCCAAGTTCAAGTGCTGGGAAACAGCCTTCGGGGAAAGAAACAATCCCCTGAGAGGAGGCAAAACTGAACCCCAAGTCCTCGACTGTCACCAGGGAGGGCCATAAATTTCCTCAGGCGGTAGTTTGGAGACATTTGTCGTTGGAAACTAGGAAACATGTCTTCAAGTTTTTACTTAAGTTGATGTTTATAAGGGGCGGCTGAGGCGGCCGTTGGAAAATATGGGGGAGGGGAAAGAGCCAAAGCGCCTCAACACAATCTTGGCTGCAGCCTTTGCCCCTCACCCGCTGACGGCCACAGTAAATCCCGACTGGCCCTCGGACCCCAAAACCTCTCCACCAACTTAGAAGTCCTCATGGAACACAGCGGATCTTCCTTTCACACCGAAGCTGGGGGCGGGGAAACGGGGGCGGCAGGTGCGGGCGGGCGGAGGCGTCGGGGTGCGCCGCCAGGGGCAGCGGCCGGCAGGGTGTGCGCCCCGCGCCGACTGCGCCTCGGGCCAAGATAAGCTGCGGGGGTGGGGCGCGGCACGGCCGCGGGGCCACTTACGAAGCCGTAGCCGCGGGACTTGCCCGTCTGGCGGTCGGTGATGACCACGGCCTCTTCGATATCCCCGAAGCCCTCGAAGTACTTCCTGAGCGAGGCGTCGGTGGTGTGGTAGGGCAGGCCGCCCACGAAGATCTTGGTGAACGTGGTGTCCTTCTGCGAGCCGTGCATGGCGCCGGGGGCGGCCGGGGGCCGCGGGAAGCCCGCGCTCGGGGCGCACGGCGCGGGCTGCAGCAGCATAGGGGTCTCCCCACCGCTACGAACCCGGGCCGCGCGGGGCTGGGCTCATGGGGGGCGGTGGGGAGCGCGCGGGCGGCGAGAAGCGTCCGTCCAGCCTCCAGGCCCGTCCGCTAGCGCGCCGCTCCCGCCGAGCACAGCGTGCTGCGCTCCGCTCCGGCGCTGCGCGAACTCTGCGCCCCGGCGCTCGCCCCCGGGCTTTGTAGCCGGCCCCGCCCTCGCCGCTTGGAAACGCCTTCAGCCCCGCCCCGCTCGCGGGGGCCGCCGGGAAGTGTAGTCCGGGCCGCCGCCCAGCCGCGCCCAGCTGCGCCGGAAACCTTGGTCTCTAAGGACGCGGGCGGAAAGAGGGGCTGTGTGGGCATGTCTGCCCCAGTCACATACTGAGTGTGCCGGCTTTGGGCCCTCGAGGTGCGCACAGACTGGTGGCTTAGAAGTAACGCTTATTAGCCTCATGCTTCTGTCTGTCGCACAGCTGCTCACGGGGCAACAGCTATCAAAAGGTGGCCGATTTTTGGGTTATCCTTCCACAAGTGTTCATCAGAGCCCCCAAGGCTGCCGGTCTTCCGGATGACCCCCGCCCCATCGAGCTTCTGTGTCTATGACAACCCAACAGAAACACACAGACGCAAGCCGAGAATCTCAGCATTCTGGAAGGCTGAGGCAGGGAGATCCAAGTTCCAGCCCAGCGTGGACATCTTAGCCTTCTAGCAAGACCTTGTCTACGAGGGGCTGGGTTGAGTCCTCACTGCCAGAAAATTAAACAACAAATCCCGTATAACCACAGTAAATGTACAATGTAGATTGCAGAAGGAGCTAAGTCAGAAAGTGGGTGGAAGTGGGGCTCTCTGAGGGCTTAGTCTGGCTGTCGGGGCCTGTGGGCTTGGGCACTGCATCCTGGTCCCAGCTCTCGGCACAGCAGGCCCTAGTGGGGAGTGACACGCATGGTCCAAGCGACAGTGAGACAGTGACCCCTGCTGAGCTGCTAGCGGGTTTGGTCCCTCTCTGGACAAGTCAGCCCCTTCTCAGTCCAGACGGCTGGGCTCCAGCAGCAGAGACCCCCATCCCGACCCCCAGCCTCGGGTCTGACTTGGCCCCTTCCAGGGAAGGAGCCTGCTCTTCTGCAGCATCCTAGAAACCCGGCTTTCCAGTCCTTTACACTGCTCTTGCTGTCCACCCCTGGCGCCCCCAGATTTTCCTGCTCGCTTAAGGTCTCTCCTCCCTGCTAGATGGGCCTTGGGTTCAAGCCGCAGAGCCTGGCGAAGGAGCCTAGGGAAACCCTTGTTACGTGAATGTGCGAGAGAACGAAGGGACCGGCAGCGCTCTGCACCCCTCCGAAGCCTCTTGAAAACTTTGATGAAACGGGGACCTTGACCTCCCTCTAGCGGCCTGGGAAGGCAGCGCGGCCCCAGCGGGAGATCTTGGGTCTCCGGGGCTCCTGCATTGGCCTGGCTCTCCCTCCACGACGCGCAGCACCTGCTGCCTGGCGCGCGCTGGGCTGCCCGGGTCAACCAAGAGCTCGCGGCCCACAAGTCTGGGCGCCCCTGTTGGGTGCCCTCTCCGCAGGAATGCACCGCGCTGTGGAGCACTTGCTGCCCCGGCTAGCAGGAGCCTCAGGAGGGGAACAGCTGCTGGCTGGGGCAGCTTCCTACTCCTCCTCCCCCAGGACACGTTTGGGTTTCTGTGCCCAGTGGCCGCAGGTCCCTGTGAGCCATATCTCCTGCAGAGCAATCAACCACTTGAGCAGTTTAGACGACTGGAGATACTGAATGGAGCAGGGGGGGAAAAAAAAAAAAAATATATATATATATATATATATATATATATATATATATATTCCCCCCAGGTAAATTTTCCCAGGCAAGTACTGAGCAGGATGCAAAGAGGAAGCACAGGACAGGCAGAATGTGCCGGGCGTCATTTAAGCCTGAGGATGTGCCTGGAAATTGGTGAAAACAGGACTTGTGAGCCATGGGACCAGGGACACATGGAGGAGCGCTCTCTAGCTGCTCAGGACAGGAGAGGCTCTGGACGCCACTGGCCCCGTGGGGCTGCCCACAACCAAGGGGCAACTCAGCCACAACGTGCCCGTAAACAAGCTGCTTCTAGGCCAGATGCGACGTCTTCTGCTTCAGATGCACACGTCTCCTCTGTGACCGTGGCGTGATGATAGTGCCCGTCCTGTGGCCAGTGGGTGTCTTAGCCAGGTGGGCAGAGGCCTGGGCACAGGGGTGTGGCTGCCCTCACAGTGCTGTACCCCTGGGCCCTGGCTGGGGCTGGACCTGTCCTACGGAGGGCCCTTGGCTTCTCAGTCTGCGGGATAGCCCACCCCAGGGGCCAGGAAAGCAGGCCAGAATGTGTGTAAATGAGCATGGGGAATGAGTGGAGAGGGGAGCCCAGGGCTGGGTACACACCCAGGAATTCCGAGCCAGAGTGCAGAGAGTCCCCAGAGTATCTTGAGAGGAAACACAGCCCACACAACAAAAGAGGACCCGAGGCGGCCCGGGGCTCGGAGCCTGCATGGTTGCATGGGTTCAGCTCTGCAGAGTGACCGGCCCTGCCTGCTCCTGTCAGCATGTGCTGAATGCTCAGTCCCCATCCTGTCCATGGCCTGGAGCAGACCCCACTGAGGCACCACAGCACTCATCTGCTTTCTTGTGTCTTCAGAGCTTTGGGGAGGGCCAGACAGGGGGCTGAGCTGGTCACACTCTGGTGGTGTCTTAGTTACGTTTTACTCGTTGCTGGGACAAATATCTGACACTCTAAAGTGAAGGAAGGAAAGATTTATTTATTTAGCTCACAGTTACTGGAGGGTTCAGTCCATATTCCGCTGGCTTCAAGGCAAATGACAGCAGTTCATGCAGCAGAAAACAATGAAGAGCAGAGGAGGAACAGCAGCTGCGGCGGCGTCCATCAAGCCTCTCTCTTCCTTCTGCGCTGACTGCGAAGATCAGTGTTCCTCCAGAGGTGCACCAAGATCAAGCTCCTCTGAAGACTGGGACTTCTACACGGCAGGTGGCAGGAAACCAGGCAGGGCTAGGCCCCCAGGCTGAGAACTGTGGAGCTGAGTCAGCCAAGTTGACACAATGTATCAACTAACACAGGCTTTGCTCGTTCCCACTGCACAAGTTCCCAGCCTCACTTCCCTCTCCACACCCCTGTAGTCACCGGAGCCCAGCTGTTCCTGGCCCAGCCTCACCAAGAGGGCCTCCTCCTTAGCTCCTTCCAGGGGGGCAAAGGGCCCTCAACGCCCCAGAGACACAAGGATTCATTTCAAAATTTCACAACAAAATGCCCAGATTAATTAATTAATTTTTATGTATTTAGGACAGGGTCCACAGGGTCTCACTATGTAAATCGGACTTGTAGTGATCCATCTATGTTCAGCCTCCCAAGTGCTGGGATTACAGTGCATGCCACCATGCTCAATCTCAATTGCAGTCTCAGTGCACCTGGGGGCGGGGCTGGTGCAACATGCCAGGGATTGAGCCCTGGCCACTGTGCTCTGCCTAAACAGGAGCTTTAGTCGCTGAGCCATCTGGCCAGCCCTGAAATGTTCAGATTTACAAAACCTCCTCTTC